AAAAATGTAAATCCTTTTCACTTCGTTCAAACAATAAATTAAGCATAAAGTTGATTTTCCTCATTTCTTCATTCAGTTGTCATCGTCGACCGTCCATAGAGACTGATAATTTCAAATTAATCGCGCCTATTTTACCACACAACAATGAAACCGGCGCCGCAAACGTTATTGTAAATTGATTCAGTGCTAAACCTATAACAACGCGGCGGCACTAAAATGGCGTATGTTAAAATTATTAATATGGAAACGTCCGGACGTCATGGTACGTTCACAAAACGTCTTTATTCATGTTTCATAATTTACGATACGCCGTAAAATGCTCTACCTGAAGATCGGTGAATAAAAGTTAGGTAGAAAATGCGCCGCGTCGGGATAAGCGCTCTAAAATGAGCTAACATGTTGATAAAGTGTTGTGATCGAATGTTCGAGTTGGAAAATTAATTAAATGGTCCCCATGCCATAGACCGTGTTGGCTTTTTATACAGGCCTGATTTGCTTTCTGTCTTCATATTTAATAATGATATAGTGTAAATGACCAAAGTCAGTTTATTACTAGGATAGGTTTAGAATTAGTATTCTTTAATAGGATTAATTTAAAGAAATGGGACATATTGATTCCTTGATTTTACGCGAACGTTATACATTCAATGCGAATATTAAATGAAACTTATTTACGGATGTTATCGCGTTTTAATTTTGGTTCATGGTCACGGGACAGACACAGTCTGACATGACATGAACGCTGGAAAGATTTAAAATCAAAATTATAACGCGATAAAATCCGTAGGTATGATAACTCCGTTACATGGCTGCCCTAGCCATGCCATGGTATCGGCTTCGACATCGAGGGTCGTGGGTTCGATTCCCTTACGGGACAACTATTTGTGTAACCCACAGATAGTTGTCTCGCATCTGGGTGTATTTTCGCGTGAAATTAATATTTAAATAGATAGGACATTTTAATATTCTTAATTTTAAAGAACCTTCTTTAAATAACCATTATCAGACGTTATTTTGATTTAGCTCTTTGTTCCAAAAATACTTTAATTTTGGAAAAATAATGACAAGAATAAATTATTTTAATTAAAATCAATATTAACGAACATGTCCGCACCACAGTAACTCATGAAAAATTAAATGTGCGTACAGTTCTTTATTACGAAGATTTTAGTACAAATATCGATAAGATGGCCCCATCACTATTTTATTCCGGGCCGCGGCGGTAGCTCGTAAAACCTTACGATAAACGCCATTATTGTCACAAAGGACGCTTATAATTGTTTGTCAAATAAATAATAATAAACATTTAATGTTTATTAAATATAATTCTGTATGGAAATAAAACCTATGCAAAACTTGATTACAGCATTGTTGTGATAAAATTGAACGAAAAACACTTTGTTACTAATAAGAACATTAATACTTAATAAGAAAACTTTATTCAAAAGAAAAGGAGTAAATGTAGTATGCACATATATATCGACGGTCCCTACGTATGGTACATAAAGACATGTCAAAAACCGAGATTTATAGGAGAGCGTCATTTATGTTCAAACCGCTCACGCCTTAGAAATAATTTCTACAGATAAGACACAGTGCAGAGGGTTATAGTCCACCGCCAAATTGTGCATCCCATTAATTAGTTTGTCTATTGTTAATTTTGTGTAACCTTTTATGTGTGATGGACAATAAAGTATTCAAAATTCATTCATTCATTCAACCCCACATACCTTCGAAATATTTTTTGAAGTTATACTTCTTTTGGCGCGTTATTTTTTACAAATTTTTACACTTGACAAGTTACCAGTTAAAAATGCAATCAATTATATTGGTGTAGGCACGGGAATTTGAACTTCGAGTCTAAGTCTTGCGCTTTCTTCGAGAGAGAAAGGAAATTCGAGTATATTGAATTAAAAACGTGCGCCTGGACACTGAACGACTTGGAATTTCTAAAGGATTATAAATCATTTATAACTAGTTTTTTTACACTTGCGTTCGAATTACGGTCTATGTTATGATAGACATTACATACATAGCGAGCAGTTTGGATATAACTGACTCTGCACACAATGAATTGTAAGAAACGACTAAATGTTTGTTACCCGGACTTGAACAGTGACCTTCTTAAGTAACTAGAGCGTCACTCCAACAACTGCATTAGATACATTTTTCATCTTCGAAAATATGACCATAATACTCCCTATCGTTCTCGTCCCAAATGGCTAACAGTCAAACAAAGGCGTAGCTCTAGAATTCTTCTTACTCTTTTCACGAGTTTCCTCTCTCGAGAATCCTTTTCTCCGTATTATCTTGAAGATAAATTTAAATACCTCTCGCTGAACGATGAAAGAGATATCCGGTTTGGTTCTTGATTTATTTCTAAAGGACCCCTTGTAGTGCCACTATCGTTTATGTGATTATATATATATACAAGAATTGCTCGTTTAAAGGATAAGATGTAAAGGATAGTATAACACCCATATGTAAAATTCCTGCCAACAATCATTAACTATTATAGACTGCGGGATGTCAACTATTCAACGAGTCTCAAGCAATCATCATCAATTTGGCATTGGTCATATTGAGACCCCACGACAAGGTCAGGTGAAGGGGTCCCTTTAATGTATACGTGTCTCAATTATCCGTACGACCTCACGGATCCGAACATCTGCGACCCCTGAACACTCAAGATTGAACCGAGATACCTGGGCTTTATTTATTACAGCTCTACGATTTAAGTATTTGCAACATTTGTTAAAGTAAGCGGTTTGGTTTATACAATACACAAATAGCTCGATTTCCATTATTTTTTGTTAGGTGTTTACAATACATTTTTACCCATTTTACTGCAATGAAATAAATAACATATAATCATCAGGGAATATTCCTTAATACCACTTTAACACTAATTTCTATACTTAAATTTACTGTAGAAACATACAACCCGAAATACTAATACATATTATATAAAAATTTTCAGCGAGAATATATTTGAAAGTAATGATATTATAATAATTTCTTGTATTTACGCGATTACACATTATAAATGAAACTAATTTTACGGATTTATCGCGTTTATTTTTTTTTAATTTTAATTCCCGACGTTTCGAACCCTTTACAGCGTTCATGGTCACGGGACAGACTGAGGTGTTAGACGTCTGATTGTCATAGTTAACCCGGGCTACCGTCAGTTTTTGAATTATTAATTTTGTGTCCGATCTATGCAGAGGGAGCTAATTGTATCTTGTCTTGCAGTAGTGGTTCGTTTGGGCCTAGATTTAATTTTATTGATGACAGGAAACTGCAGACTTGTTCAGTCTGCAGTTTGTGAGCACATTTTGAATAGGCCCAACCACTACATCAGGTTTGACAAACCACAGATCCTTGCAAAAGAACACCGATTCCTCCCAAGGATGATTCGCGAGGCTATTGAAATTAAAAAACACCCTAATTTCAATAGAGAAGAAGGTTGGGTACTACCATCAGCTTGGGATCCTGTCGATCTACGATGATCAGTGTTTCAGAAACCGGGCGTACGTCTCGTTTAAATATAGAATGGGGGTTATTGTTAGAGAAGTAACAAAATGATGAATAATGAAAACTTGAAAATGAGACTGTTGTGTTCTCTCTTATTGAAGTATAACTTTAACAATAGGTTCCTATAAGTTGGTATACTTTATTTTATAATAATTTTAAGAACACAAAGTTTAGTTTGAACATCATTTGAACCCAATAAGGGTTATGCCAATATAAATTTATAGACACATTTAGATGTATATATATAATGTCTATTATAGCATAGACCGTAATATGAACGCAAATATTAAAATACCTAGTTATACTTGATTTATAATCCTTTAAAATTTGAAGCCGTGATAGCTCAGTGTCCGGACGCTCGTCTCCGTGCCTACCAATGAAATTGTTGATTTCAATTTTAATTGCCGACTTATCAAGTGTTCAGCAGTGAAAGAAAACATCGTGAGAGATCCTGCATATTTTCGAAATAGTTTTAAAAATATATTTATTAGGTATGTGAACTCTACCAATCCGCGATGGGCTTCTACGAGTAACAAACACGTGTACTCTTTACATACTCACTTTTGTTTTATTATGAGCTTCATAGCTTTATCGCTGACCGGTACTAGAACACACAGGTTTCTGTCAGCTGGTCATTGCAATGAGCTGTGGATCCTGTCGATGCAGAACTGCTATCCACGTCTAAGTTAATTATTATTATTTTATTAGGTTTTTGTTCTCTACATTTTTTATCTCTTTTTTCTGTATATGTTATGTGGACTGTGGTGTTGAATGCCATATTTTTTGTTGTATGTTGAGATTATTAAAATTATTAAATTACTTTTTCTGTATGATACGTTAAAATAATCATCTTCAGTATTTGATTTTTAGTAAAATTTAATAAAGCGACAAAGCAAACATTTATATGTTTTAAATTGTATTGCATTCTAAACGGTTTTACTGTGACACACTTCTTAAAAGGTGATGAATATGCTAATAGATTCTATCGTAGGATGAAATAATACGAGAGCATGGAATATAGAAATATATTTATTTATTCAATCAAACTATTTAACTAGATTTTTACACTGGACGGCATATACAAACATTTCCAATTATTATTACAACATAAATATTTAACAAAACTTATTATAATATCTATTAATAACTTCTAATGCTTAATCACAAACAACATAAAATTTAAAAAATACTGTATCGTAAGATATTGAAGTAACTGAGACCTTATTTTATTTACATCAATGTTTATCTATAGCTTCTTATACAATAATCAAAGAGGACGGATGACGGAGTCGGAGATAGAAAGAAACATCTCGTTTTAATAATTGAATGTAGGAGCAACACACTAGTTCTGTACAGCAAGCAATCTCTAAATATGTAGGTTTTATAATGACATTCAAAAGGTCGTCGACAAAAAAGTCACTCCGTATTGTCAGGACAAAATAAAGAAGCTATACAGTAGCTCAACACATCAGATCCGCTCTCTGACGCAACAACTCCAATCTAATCTCGTGCTCTCTAGCCGCCATTCTTAATGCGGCGATGCTAGAGCTCCTCACGTCGTCCATTGCCGCGTGTGGCGGCAGCTGTTCGCACCCGGGCGATATCGGGGGCGAGATGGAGGGCGCCGGCGATCGAGCCGCCTCGGGGGACGTTCGGGAATGTTCCGGCGACAGACGAGGCGGTTCGGGTACAGCTAGGTTCGCGAACAGCGAGTGGAAGTGAGCGGGCGAGGTGGCGTATAGCGGTGCGCCGAAAAGCGGAGGACGCGACAACGGCGGGAGATATTGCGCGCCAAACAGTGGGCTGCTAGCGTACCTGTTTAACAGAAAAAAATTATAAGTACTGTACTGCAGGGCCTGCTGTTGCACGAATGGACAAGCTCCTCTGGGGAAGTACCACAGCCCCACAGAAGACTGGCGTGAAGTGAAAGTATTATACATTTAAGTATTTTATGTATTCATTAAAGGGTGGCAATGCATCTGCAACCCGAAATGTGTCGTAGATGTCTATGAGCGGCATAAACACTGAAGACTGATGATGACTGGCAGATTTGTAGTCGGTCCAACCATCCCAGTAATATATGACTATTGTACTGTTACTTATAACATTATTTTTTATGTGAAAAGTATGGAAGCATCAGATGAATCACCTGCTCCACAAATCTGTCATTCAGACAAGGATTGGCAGAGGCATGTGTAATACCTATAGCTTGGTTTTTCGAATTGAAAATGAAAATCACCGTCGCGCGTTTGTACACGGTGTGTCATGATAGGCTTCTGTATCATCATCATCATTTCAGCCTGTCTGCGTCCACTACTGATTAGGCCTCCCCCACAGACCGCCACGAAGCACGATCCTGAGCCACCTACATCCATCGATGTAGGTGGCTCAGGCCCGCACACTTGCACAGGTCACTCCATCTAGTGGGGGCTGTGTAATAGGGTCGCGCTCACCTAAAGGCCAGCGCGTTGTCGAACGGCTTTCTCAAACCGAAGCCGAGCTGAGACAGAGGGTGTGGCGGGGCGGGCAGCGTGGCGGACGTCGGCAGCGGCTGCGCACCGCTCAGGTATCCGCTGTAGGGGTGCGCGTGGGGACCCACCTTTTCTTGCTTCCGCCATTTCGCGCGCCGGTTTTGGAACCACACCTTTACGAAATAATTAAATAAATTTAGCACCCATTGGTTGTATGGCCTAGCAGAAATAGTTTTTATGTGAGACAGTAGCAAGCGAGCTGACGGTTCAGCTGATATTGAGTGTTAACCGCCACCCGTGGACTTTTGCACCAACTAAGAGTTGCAAGTGAATTTAAGCTTTATTAAGGTTGAAAGTGACTATGGCGAATAAGATATTATTGCGATAATTGATAAGTGTTTTTAAAGTTTCGACTTTCGAATCCTCAAAAATACTTTTCAATTTTCGCAGCTACAAAGTTTACACGATTTTTGAATCACAAACGGCATATCAGTTGGAGTGGACAAAGATTTGTCTACCTTAGAGTTTAAGTTGTGAGAACTCGTCTCACAACTTAAAAATTCTGTTGTAACTCTTCCATTACTAAACAATGCAATCGACAGATACAAAGTGATTCCGCATGCCTCTAAACATATTTTAATGAACCTAAGTGTTTACAACTTAATTCATACAAACATAAACTTTTATGATGTCGTGCCTTCTAACACCGTCTAACGACTAATAAAATTACAGAAATTGTTAGCTAATTACTTTGTTACTTTAAAGGTAGTGATAAGTGTTAACTTATGAAAACAATGTTATTTTCGCAATGGAACTTTGAATATCAAATCGCTTGAATACCCCTTACATTTTTGCGGAATTTCTATAAAGAAAATGGTAATTTTGGTTTTAAAATAAAACTGTGATTGTGATAGTACTGTAGAACAATACATTATATGAATGTAAATACCTTTAAAAATGTATGTATAGGTCTTATTATATTAAAAGCCTTATATGAAGCCTTGGTAAGGAGTCATTTGGAGCATAACACTGTGATATGGGCTCCACATGAAAATAAATATAAGATTATGCTCGAACGTATTAATAATTTGGTTGCCCGATTTTTGTATTTTAAATTATATGGTATCGTATCCGGGCTATCCTGTACTATATCCTATTTTATTTGTTCTAGGTATGGTAGGATATAGTACACTTGAAGTGATTGACATATATCTGAGTGTTTGATTGCCAAATAGGATTGACCTCAGGCAGGCGGCTGGTCGTAAAAGTCATAGCTAAAAACCGCTTACATCATGATTCACTTGTGTCGACCCCCATGTAGGTTCTAAGTCTGCTTATGTAATCTTGAACGTCCCCTAACCGCATGGAAGTTCATAATAACTGGGCTTCGGTTACATTTCGCAACCTATGTCAACTACTGTGATGTGTTTTACTATAAGATTACTTTACTTTTCAATCGCCGGTCCACGGTAAAGCCAGTTCATTTCTATATAATTGAGGGCGACTTTTTACTCTTTCCTTCACGGATTAGCAAGTCAATTGAGAGGTCGTATCGTATCGTATTTATAATGAAAACACCTACAGTTAATGTAACCGCAGTGGTTTAATATTGAGTTGTTAATTGAATTCAGTTTGAAGGCAGCGCTGCGTTTTGCGACACGACACGAAAGGAATCCTGCTCAGCCGTCAGTTACCATGAAAGTGTTACGTTAAGGATATATTTATTTATATTAAAAGATTAAAATATATTTTAACTTTGATTCATTATTATTCATTATATATGATTATGATTATGACTGATTATATAAATAACAGTTTTATGGAAGTTGTCGTCAAGTGCCAACAATTGATTTTTGTTGAAGTTATTTCGTCATAATGCGTAATATATGCATACGTTTTGGTCTGTTTTAGTTTACAAATATATTTTATACGAAACAATACCATAGATTTAAATGAAAATAATGCATTTCTGATTAATCAATGTAACATAAGAAAGTCAGTTGAGACATCTCAACTAAGTTTTTAATCCCCGACGTAAAAGTGGGGTGTTATATGTTTGACGTGTTTGTTTGTATACCTGTGTGTCTGTCTGTGGCTTCGTAGCTTGTAAGACATTGCTAGCTACAAATATATATATGGCTACAGCCAAAAAATCTATAATTTATGAAGATCTGTTCAGGCATTTGACTATCATCAGCTCATTTCCTACATGACAAAAAGGGTCCTACTAACTTTCAAAAATCAGATTAATATTACTGTTTATTACCCGATACAAAAATCTCTATTTTTTTATTTTATATTTATTTTATATTATTCACTAACATTTTTCAAGCTAAAACGACTATATTAATTTCGAGTTTTAACAAAAACGCTCTTCATAATGGACCCGATATGAGACCGCAAGATACGTAATACATAAATCGTTCAGTGATTATTTTAAACGTATTTATCGACATTACGCAAGATGAGATTAAGAAATTGTGCAAGTGAAGAAGTGAAAATATCCCTCGCTACTCCGATTTTATGGTCGGCATTTCGATAAGCATTGGCGTGTACGTGAGAAAAATATTAACCGTCCCGTTCGACGAATAGTTTCCATATGCGTGGTCTTTTATTACGCTGTAATTGAACGTTATTGAGCCCCCTTATTTATAATCACGCCTCAATAATTGTACGACAGTAGATGCTTAATGCTCCCTGAAATTGTCACTCTTTACGATCATTACGATATTCGAATTCCCTCTTTCAAATTATAAAATTTCGAACGGACTGTTCTTATGGACTTTGATTACGTATGAAATACTTTTCCCCAATTCTTGAATATGGCGCGACTTCGGTGTTGACATTTAGTTAAGTTTTAGTAAGTTTCGGACGGATTAATATAGTAATAAATGGGAATAATATGTTATTACTGTAATTACATGAAGGATAATTGTTCTTTCTAGAACAAGTGACAAGCACGAAAGATTTTTTGTAAGAAATGAGTAAACCATTACGGGTCTAGTATTTAAATCCCAAGTTTAAAAAGTAAAACTTAACAAACTAATTTTTCGTTTCACAGCTTACCTTTGATAAATGCAATATATCGATAGAAAATATGGTCACCGTGCATTTTTAATTTTGGGCAGTAATGGTACCAGTTACATCGTTTTTTCATCCTTACGCATGTCAAGGGCAAACGCTGTATTTCCCAACCGGAGTCTGTGCGCAAGAAAAACATGGGCTTTAAATTTAATTTCATCCCCGTTAACGATTCAATCATGCACATTGATTAAGTCATGCCGAGACGCGCGAATACGCTCACGTACGCGTTCCACGTCCGCCATCTTTATTTCACGAGGGCCCGTCCTTTTTGCGCAGTAACATTTTATCGCTCATTATATTGGAGAGGCGCGAGAGATTTTGCCACATCGGAGAATCGAACTTTACGTAAATATGACATTACGCCGGAGGAATTCCGAGCGCGAAATAAAGCAAAAAATCGCCCGTAGAAGTTGCCAGTTCGAGTAGTTTTCGTTCCGTTTTCGTCGTCGTATTGCGACAAGTGAAAGTTCGTATTGTGGGCTTATTTTACTGGGCGATAGTTTTAGTAAGATTTATGAGACATAATTATTGAGTAAATACAAAATTTACAAGTACAAATTCTATTTTCTTTCCTTCAAGACACAATGTGCACACAAGCAGCAGTTCCACCTGATGTTGAGTGATTATCAACGACTGTGGTCATCCACAACACCTGTGGAGTTCCCCGTCTCGGTTACCTCACTCGACATACAAATTGCTTAAACAATTCCACTTTACACCGTGGTACGTCTCCGGACAACGCACCGCATTCGTGAAACAGTAGATTTTATAAAATACTGCTTTTTTGATTTATTTAATTTAACTTCGTATCCAACAATCACAATTTCGATCGAAATAATTAGCTCTCAATCTTGAGCCAAAATAATAATCACACCTGTCCTTTTATGTGCCTATAAATTACTATTTTTTTTCTCTGACAAAGATAGCTCCTTGCCGGACTTCCAATACTTCTAGCTACGATAACAATTATAATAATATATACAATACCAGACGTGAAAACAAATAAATATCCCCCCACAATAATAATAAACTATAACTTGTAATCTTACCTGAATCCTTGCTTCAGTTAATCCGATTTTCAGCGCAAGCTCTTCTCTGTAACAAAATTGTACATTGAAGCCGCAACCGAAACATGATGTTTGTTGATGAAAGAAAAAAAAATATCTAATATACAAATTTAGTATACATACATACATACATACATACATACATACATACATACATACATACATACATACAATATGTGGTATTTAAGAGAATTGGCATATTTTATAGTGCACTTACGAAGTGAATTGTCTATGACTGTAACATGTTGTATCGTCTTCTATACTTTCGTCATACTTTCTTACATAAAACAGAAAGCTCCCGAACAATATATTATAATTATATTCGTATACATATACACACATATAATTCTTCTTTAATATTAAACAGAAATGTTTTTTTTAGTAACAATTACATACATCTTTTTAAATTGTTACTTCGTGTATTGGTTACACAAACATCCAAATCCGTACAAATTATGTGTGAATCGAACCTAAGGCTTTCAAACCAATAGCTTAGCTACTGCGTGACGGACTCATTTTAAATAATTATTTATATATCTTGTTATATTAGCTCAATTAATTTATTCTATATAATCTATCATGTCTTACCACTAAATGATTTTATACCAGTATCACTTGCATTAGAAATCGTTAAATTGTACGTAAAATGTACTACCGTGGATATAAAAAAAATACTTTAACTATGGTAGGGCCACGCAACAGTCTCCGCTGTTGCATAAATGGGCAGTTCCGTCTACGTACTTACAGAGGACCGGCGTGACGTGGAAGTGTTAAACTTCTGCGTTTCGTCCGCTGATTGATGTAGCTACACATCTGAATTTTGAAATTTTTTGCAATTTATTAAAAGGTGGCTACACATCTGAAACCGTGCGGGTGTTGCAGGGTGGCGGTTATCACTTAACATCAGGTGAACCGCCAGCTCGCTTGCCACCTTATCACATGAATTCAACTAAAGAGAACTTCAATAGAAGCGCACCTTGAGAACACGTCAGGGTAGTGGGTCCTGCCGAACGCCTTCTCCAGCTCGTCCAGCTGGTAGCTCGTGAACGTAGTCCTGTAGCGCCTCTGCTTCCTCCGGGGTATATCCTCATCTTCACCGCTACCCGAGCAAGGGCGCTCGGGTTCCATCATCGACCTGTCTGAGCAGCCCTGTTCAGACACTCCCATTGCGCCTTGGCTTGTGATTGTGGAGAATGTGAGCGAATTCTGCAAAATGATTTTTAAATAGGAATACCAAACAAACGTTTGCTTATTTAATCCTGAAGGAGACAGGTTGCTCGAATATTGAATTAAAGATGAGTGCCTGGACACTGGGCTAGCCCATAAGTAAGTTCAAAATAAAAAGACCATTAGTAAAATAATTAAATTAACATAACCAAACAGGATAACGAAAGAAAGTGCAAAATGATTGCTTATGTAAATGTATGTATCTATGTACTGCACGAAAATGTGAGAAAAGGATTGAGAAAACGTTTGATTTTATGATACAATATAGTTCATTCTATTAGGTCTGTATAAAATATTCCGTGACCATTTATATAGGTATGTAATTATGTATTTGTGTTCTTTCGCTTTACTGAATTATTCATAAGTATTTTTTCATTTTCTTTTATTTTTTGTTAATTTTAGTTTTTCTTTCTCTTTTATTGTGTGCGTCCTTTTTTTGGTAAATAAATGCATTTTCTTTCTTTCTATTTGTAAAAATTCGTAATTAATACAGTCAACATAATTATCTTTATACTTCGATCATAAATAAATATTCATTGCTTTACAATATAAATATTTAAACATAGTTTAATCTCACACTGCGTTAATCGCGAACGCAGCCGTCGAGGCTAACTTCAAAACGATATTTCGAACGCGTACCGTTATTACACGCGAACTTCGTAACGATATTTCGAACGCGGTCCGTTATTACGAACCGAATTACACATTGTTGATACAATTCGATATTGATACAATCATCGCCGCTGACCCGCGGCCGACGTGGACGGACCCGCGCTCCGACGTCAAGCGCAATTAAACCTTGTATCGCGCCTCCCCATCTAAATTGCAATACATTCCCCCGCTTTCTTCTGTCCCCATGTGGTACAAGACAAGCGCAGTGTTGAAAAGTGCATTCAATGCGTACGATGCTAAACAAAAGCTTTGGTGTTCATCAACATTGGCTCAACCTAGCCCACTTTTCTTTTTTAAATGATCCTGATCGAAATCAAAGTAAGAAATATCATGCAATAGTATCAAATCAATTAAAGATAGTCTTTTGATTATGATGCTGTCATTACCGTAAGACTCTCTCTTGAATGGCAGCGTTTTTAATATCGTCTACATATAAGTTTCCTTTTTATCGTAATTATCTTGGTAGAGCGTAATAAATTTGGAGCTCTTGAATATTATTAAAAGTATTTGCATCATATAATCTGAGTATAGTAAATAAAGACAAGGGGTGTACATCCTTCGGTGAAATTAATACATAAAGTGTACTATAATTTATTACTATACAGTTAAATTAAATGATATTTTGTTGCCTTTACACTTTAATAATAACTGAGACAATTAATTTTAATTTTTTTTCCTATTCACGTAGTGCGTTTCAAACATATTTAATAACTTATTCGGGCATTATGCAATGCTTATTTCTATATTATTTTTAAAAAGAGTTCCATACTAAACTACTCTTTTCAACTTTCCATAAAAGAAAAAAAATATATAAAACGCTCCAAATATGTTTGTTCAAAATATTTGCTTATAAATTGCAAAAAAGTCGCAGTAACGAGATTGTTACGCATGACCGCTCACGACGCGTATTTGAATTTCCAACGGCTTCTATTCCGTTTAGATTATTTTTCTTTTGCGTATCACGTTAGAAAAAGTCATAATTGCAAGGTCTAAATGGTTTCACTGCTACTTCGGGACAAAAAACGTTATGTTACGGCATAACCTTTAATTAAATAATATCGTACGTTTAAATCGGCCCTTGTGTGAAAGAGCAACAAACTTAGTTAGTTTTTTATAGCATCATGCGCATGCTAAAGTATTTACCGGGTTATCTTTCTCCGGGTAAAAAGTTAGAGCCAGCGCTATTTTGCTCAGATAATAAGCACTAAGCTTATTGGGCCTTAATGTAACTGGTGGTGTATCGGAACCCGAGACCTAAAAACAAACCGTAAAACGAACTTCACGGCCCTTTTCAAGACATTAATGGAAAGAAGAAACATAAAAAATGTGCTAACGGAGATAAAATGTAACAGGGTCATTGATAATGTAATTTGTAATTGCGTAAATTATAAAATCTAAGAAATTCCTATTGAAAATGCACTATTGAATTCCATAATTATTGTTAATTATGTTAAGTATACTAACATGTTTGAATGCACATACTCATTGTTGTGTCCAATAGATTATTTGTTCTTCCTCTTCGGTTTATTTATTTATTTTTTAGGTTTCCTTGGTAATATCAAACCACAGTCCAAAAAGTTAGTAAGACTAACCTCATGTGTTATTCAACTAAATGAACTTAACAATTTCAACTAGTGAAGAGAAATTTAAAAGAAAGTTATTATTATAACCCACCTTACACGTCAATGATTTAATCTGTATACTCTCTCGACTATAGTATAAATTTACTAATCTATTTACATCGAAGAAAATGTAAAGCTGAAGCAATAATTTAAATATAAGAGAAGAGATTCAAAAGAATTACAACACGTATTTATATAAAATGCAAAAAACCAAAAGTAAATTGCCACCAATTTTAAACACATCAGCAAATATTGCTAACTGATGTTTATTAACTTTATTTCCATTCTTCGTAATGCAATTTAAATAACGATGATCATGGTTAAGCATTTTAAAAGATTTTTTTGTTACCTTCACATAATTGCCGTAATGATTCTGAGGGAAATGCGATTTTTTGTCATTAATGTCTGCTCATATGCATTGCAACAGTCCTACTAAGTTTAATCACTTTTATATAAGAGCGTGCTAAGAAAACATTTTATTCACGTATGTTGTGTCTTGTGTTTATGGAATTTACGTATGTTAGAAATGCATTTCATAAAGGAACCTTATAACTTATTGCAACTCGAGAGCAGTTGTATAAACTAATTAAATGAAAGTATAAACTTATTTATTATATTCAATGAAAAAAAAATGTTTAACGTACTCATTACCTAGTTACGTTTTATACAATAACGAAGAAAATAGAAATAATTGTTGTCATGTAAGTGAATAGAATTTAATTATTACTTTAACATACTAATTTAATGCAATAATATAATGAAATACTGTTTTTATTTGTTGAGGACAATGTCTTTATATATTTTACTTATAAAATAGTAATTTGACTATTTTTATATATAAGTTTAAATCTAGCTAACTTATTTATTACTTGTGTAGTGTATTCAAAAGTTGAATATTATTTAAACATAACTTACCTAGCGTGTATATCTGTGAAAACTATAATCCATTTGTCTTTCGTGTAACAAACCAAACATGATGAAGGCACTTGAAATGCTCTACACACAACCAACACTATCGTATGTTTCGTCGCTGACTGGTTTCTATTTTCTAAGCGTCGAGTATTATCAATATCGACGATGACATTAGCGAGACATTTAAACAGATACTGACGGACCAATTCTAATCTTAAGACTGATCTTTTGCAATTCTACCTTTCCACGTCCGTGGCGATTGAGTCATCAAACTTCCTTGAAACGCTAATTCAATTGTTACCTTCTTTGCTCATTATCACTGATTGAACTGATAATACCTAGTTTAACTTTTCCCATTTTGTTCTCTTTTTAATAACATGCTTAAAGAACGTACGTTTTATTACACAGAACAATGTTATTGTGAACTTGGTTGAGGAGAAACGATTTTTCTTAACACTTTTTGTTTTATAAAAATCTTTTTAGATTTCCTCAACGGTAAAAATTTATTGCTTCTATCCATTTAAGGCGATTATTAAATAATAAACGTGTCTGCATTTGTAACTAAATAAGGTTAATTAAATTTTCGATAGAAAATTTGAGACGTTCTTGCGATTACTAGCTCAAATAAAGACATGTTTTCCGGAATAGTGAAAATGTATCGGTTGTTATTAAATAATAAAGGTGTCGGCATTTGTAACTAAATAAGGTTAATTAAATTTTCGATAGAAAATTTGAGACGTTCTTGCGATTACTAGCTCAAATAAAGACATGTTTTCCGGAATAGTGAAAATGTATCGGTTGTTATTAAATAATAAAGGTGTCGGCATTTGTAACTAAATAAGGTTAATTAAATTTTCGATAGAAAATTTGAGACGTTCTTGCGATTACTAGCTCAAATAAAGACATGTTTTCCAGAATAGTGAAAATGTATCGGCTGTTATTAAATAATAAAGGTGTCTGCATTTGTAACTAAATAAGGTTAATTAAATTTTCGATAGAAAATTTGAGACGTTCTTGTGATTACTAGCTCAAATAAAGACATGTTTTCCGGAATAGTGAAAATGTATCGGTTGTTATTAAATAATAAAGGTGTCTGCATTTGTAACTAAATAAGGTTAATTAAATTTTCGATAGAAAATTTGAGACGTTCTTGCGATTACTAGCTCAAATAAAGACATGTTTTCCGGAATAGTGAAAATGTATCGGTTGATACAGTTTAAAGTAAAAACTAGTATTTAAATATAACTGAACTTTCTTTTTATTATACATTCCTATTAAGGTTGTAAGTACTCGTTTAACAAAATAAATTTCGATATATATTTGGGGATCCTATGGTATTTGGACAGTGTAGAATGTAGGACAGCCCTATTTCGAAAACTCCAAGCCTTACAAATTATGTCATTTATGGTATTCAAAGCACCCTCTATCAACTCTTATGTGGAGATAGTTGTGATCGGCCAGCACTGCATTAGTTCATATAAAAAAGATGAATTGTTATTACTAGGTCTCGGCCTTTCTTTCTTAATGTTAGAAATAGCATAAGTACAATAGATTTCCCTTTAGCTAGCACGTCTTTTTAAAAAAATGATTTGACCTCACAAGAAAAGATTATATTCTTAATATAATAGAGATAACTGTGAATCCGATTTTGTATTTTAAGTTATAAGTAATCTGTTAAGTAACGTAAAGTAGTCTGTTAATTTATATAAATCTTTGTTCAGTAGAGACCTCACA